TAGAATAGAACTCCATCAAATGAAAAGATATATGTTTCCAGCACTGGAATGAGATCCTCGACGAGCTCCTCTCTCATAGGCATGATGAGGATCTTTGACGTCGTCCTGGTTAAGGCCGTCACCTCACCTCCAACTCATGCAGGTCACGCCCGCCCAGATCACACACTATGGCCACCGGTTCTCCAGACCGTGCCCGGCTGCCAGGCCAGCCTCGCTCTGCTCTGCACGTGACGACTTTCGTGTCCACCCTCATGACGCGCCGATCTGGTCCACCACCGTCGACCGTTGCTGCACCTCTACTACCGGCTGTTAACCTATTGTGTGCGAGCCGACGAGGTCCTTGTCCCTGTAGCCGATGTTCAGGCGCACAACGGAAGACGAAGGCGATGATGAGGCATGTGAGCGCAGATCTTGCTCCTCATCGTGTTGGTCGGGTAGAGCGGCCAAGAGGGAGACCGGCGGCACAGAGCAGATGAGCGGGTGGGAAGAGACGATGAGGGGCTCGGGGTGTGATGGAAGGATAGCATAGGAGGCGACGAGGTTGGGGCAGAGGTTGGCAGCGGCGGCAGAACTAGGGGAGACGAGAAGGATTCAGGTTTTGGGAGGAGAGCGTGTGGGCAGGGGAGTTATTTTGTGGGGCAGGCCCAATCGCGCACGCCACGCTTTTTCTCCATCTCCCAATCGCTTGCACGATTTTCCTTTTTGTCGCATAGCGTTGCCACGTGGACGCAACGAGCGAGCGCTCCTTGCGCGTAGCTTACTGTGTTTGATTGCAGATTAATAATTATAGACATAAATTTTTTGCTAACTACTTTGAGTGTAATCGGGTAGAAGCTGAATTATACTCTTTGCAGGTAATCAATTACTGTGATGGACAAACCATATGGTGGGACTCAGAGGTGGCAATATTCACAGAATGTGCGGAGACTGGTACTTCAATTGGGAAGGTCGTTTAGAAGCATTGTTATAAATTTTGTAATCAAATGGCTCATATGCTAGCTCATTTCAGTTACTTTAATAAGACTTCATTTAGTTGGTTGGACGAGCCCCCTGATGGTATTGTCAGTAAGCTCGTTGACGATGTAAACATTATTTATGTTTTAATAAAGCTAGTTATAATGGTCTTTCCTTCAAAAATTACTGACATAAATTAAGGTTTCCTTATTAGGTGACTCGCAAGAAAAAGGTTTGCTTATTAAGTGTGGCTTTCAAGGGTTTATATTAGCAGTAAAAAAAAGATTGAAAAAAGACGGGAATTCAGCGTTTCACGCTAAAATTAAATAAATTTTTGGCCCAGGTTTCTTACGGATGCCACTAGTGTTTTTTTAACACAAACAATCGCAGGTTTATGTGTTAATTAAGTGCAACTTTTAAGGGTTTATGTTTGTAGCAGCAAAAAATGATTGAAAAAAACTGAAATTCAGCATTCACGGTAAAATTAATTTAAATTTTGGCACAGGTTTCTTACGGATGCCACTAGTGTTGGATGGATATTCTTAACTCCAGCGCTTGAAGGTGAAACACGGAAGAATTTCAACCAAGAATGTGAACTAAAACAAAAGGATGAAATGAAGGCAGCTCCTCTTGATCCTACTCTAGATTGTGCTAATGCACACTTACGATTTCTTTTAAAACACCACTCATGTAATTAATTAAAATGTTATTACAATCATTCATTACGTCAATGCGGCATACATGGCGAGACATATTAGCTAAAGCACCATCAGACTTGTTATCAGACTTAAATTTCACAATCTCATGCGCCAACCCATTTGTCGGACGATTAATCTTCAACAAGTTAAAACTATGGAGGAGATTAGAGGTGCTCAAAGCTTCTTTCTTAAGATCAACTTGAGGGGACCTATCCAGGATATCATTTTCAACGAAAGCTCGGTTTCCAAAATAATAGCCTTATGAAGAGTGGTACCTATGTACTGAGGCGGATTTAGGCCCCAGGCAGCCCGGGCGGCTGCCTGGGGTGTGAGGGTGTTTCCCTTCGTTGACTGTAGCCACAACGCAGTACTGTAGCTACAGTGCTTCGAAGCTTGCCTGGGGCGGCCTGGGGCCTGCCGTTTTTCTGGGTCCGCCACTACCTATGTAGAGACCCGCGATGCAAGCATGAAACCTCGCTTCTTCCACAATGGAGCACCAACCAATACAATCCCAAAAAGAAATGATGACTTTACCAAAATAGTTTTTGGCAACAACTCCCATGCTTGCAGATATAATGCTCTCCACGAAACTAGTATCCACGTTCATCTTGATGCAATCAGAAGGAGTAGGATGTCGCACCCCACATATACTCAAACACAAACACATAGGACTAACCTCACCGCCACTTCCTTAACTTTGTTATTAGAATCCAAATCCGGGGAGGTATGGCAGGACAAAAAGGAAGACCATTAATTCTCAATAAACTTAGTATAGGCAGTGGCATAATCTTCTCTTTTACCAAAAATCAAATCATTCCTAAGGTCTCCCGAATAAATAAAACCCTCTTATGACATTAGATTCCACAAATCCCTCATCTCCAAACTGCGGGCACGAGCCTTAGAGAAAGACACAAGAGCACGGAAAATTCTGTCATCTTCCACACCACAAATGTAGCACATCCCTGAGGTGAATTGATGGTGCGTAACTCTGTTGACCTGGACTGGATGTTCATTGTTGCCCGTCGGGCAAAATTTCTAATATTTTGGAGAACAGTGGATTTTCAAATAATATTCGACAACCTCCTATCACCATTCGCATCACCACTAGATTGCCCTAAGTTCTCCTTTCGAACCTTGAGATTCAACACAAGATTGTATGCATTTTTAACAGAAAACGTACTATTCTTCTCATAATGCTATGACAAAATCGCCTTTCCCCGACTATTAGATACATAAAAATCAAACCTGTCAAAACATAGAAAGCATAAAACGCCTTAGAGAAAAGTTAGGAAAAATGGCAAAAATGATGCTAGAAAGGAAAATACTTACAAGCATGATTTTCTCTTAGCGATTGGACCATGTTACGCGGTCGTTCACCAAAAGTTGGAGCATCTTGTATAGTATCCATAGTTTAAAATGTACCAGTCATTGAATTAGTGAGTTTGCTAGTTTAGATTTTCACAGGTTGGGCCATCGGTCCACCAGTTCATTGTATGGTATTTTAAGCCATAAATATTATGTTTTTCTTATACTAGCATAATACTAAAAAGTGTCAAATATACTAAGTTTCTACCATGTGACAATAACTTTGGTTTGGCAAGTTGGTTCCCGGGTTCAACTCATGGCTTCGACCTCCTTCCTATAGTGACCAAGTTTGATTTGTGCATTGACAATTTGTTTTAATATTGCGTTCGGTTTAACCAATTCTCTCTGGTCCAGTGGTGGACTGGTCCACATAGATTAAAAACCATGAGAGATGTCAGTATTGATCTCTAAAACTACGGTGGAATCACACTAGAAGCTTAAGCACACTTTATGCTCCGACTTATAGTGTGAGTGATCTTGCGAAGCCATTTTTATGTCATTACATATGGTTCAATTGGTTCACCATAGATTCATGATAGTATATTGTAACAAATGCTAACATGCCAACAACAATGCAACATCTTTTATGTGATTATAAAATGTCAAAGGTAACAATAGACATAAACTAAAGGAATATGGCATGTTTACACATAGCATATGCATTTCTAGCCAACATTTAAAACGCCACAAAGAATGATCTCTTCTCCTTGAATAGATCCCCGTAGTGATCACTTTCCCAACCCCTAATTTGATTTACGTAAAGTCTATTACCGTCGGGTTCCAAAATCCAACCTTTTTCCAATCAAGCAAGAGGGAAAGTAGAAATGTAGTTAAACACACTCACTGGATGACACACAGAGACCAACCAGTGGGGCCAAAGCTCAGATCAACCAGAGTTTCTATTTCTAGTGATCATCAGATGACACATGGGGACTGCTAGAGGGGCCAAAGCCTGGAGCAACCAAAGCTTACTATTTCGAGCAAGCATGGTTTCCCTAACCAATCGCTGCGTACTTGTCAATTCTCAGACCTAACCATATATCAGATCCCAATATTTTTCCAATCTAGCTAAAGGAGATGTAGAAGATGTAGTTAACTGATGTTCTCTGAATTGTGCATGAAGACCACCGACGGTGCCAAAGCCTATAGCAGCCAGAGCTTGCTATTTTATAGCGAGGAAATGATACATTTCAAAAAAAAACATGATGACACGAGCTCTAAGGTTCGTCTAATCTGTGCAGATTTGATATTCTACATTTTTTTATAATGAGTATAAAATAACGTTGAGAGGTGCTTAGCTCGATGCTAGTAGACACATGTGCGCTTCTCCAATATTCTTGGTCATGGGAATGAAAACAATAGGGCATCGTAGCAATAATGGTAAGCGTACAAAGAGTATCACGCAATTTCACGCTAACCAGGATTTTTTTTCTAACTAACCTCCCCCTCTGATTTTCACGGGGTTGGGCCCCTCCTCCCCCTTAGGCCATGTTTGGTTCAAGTTTTATTGACGGATTCCGCTGCCGCGCAGCAGAATCTGAACTAAAGGGCGAATTCAACAGAATCCGAATCCAGAAATTCGCTGCCAAAATCTGAACCAAAAGCAGAAATAGCTCAGGACGTGCTTTCCAAAATCTGATTTCGCTGTGGGCCAAAATCTAAAAAAGTTGTATCAGCTGGTTTGTCAAATGACATCATCGTTTTCACATCAGATTTTGCACAGCTATTTTTCCATAACAGATTTTTCATAGCTGCTTTTAGAAATCCACATCCGAACCAAACAGGGCCTTAATCTCAATCCGGTGTAACTCTATGTATCAGCTTGGTTTTTTGTGGGCTTTGCTGTGGCTTTCTCTGATCTAGTTATTGTTGTGGGCCTTTTTCTCCCTACAAGAGAAGTTCTGGGCTTTCCATACGCAGCGTGGCATTTCCCCTCTCCGCTCCACTCCAACAGATCCCCGCACGAGCTGTGAGGAGGGCGATATGACGCCCAGGCCCAGCCTTCGCCGCCGCCCCAGCTCGCCGGCGTCGGCGCCGCCGCTGAACGACGACGACCTCCTCTCCGAGATCCTCCTCCGTCTCCCTCCGCAGCCGTCCTCCCTCCCACGCGCCTCCGTCGTTTGCAAGCGCTGGCGCGGCCTCGTCTCCGACCCCGGCTTCCTCAGTCGCTTCCGGATCCACCACCGCCGCCACCCTCCCCTCCTCGGCTGCTTCGTCAAAAATTCCGATGAGCTCTACTTCGAGCCTACCCTGGAGCTCCCCAACCGTGTCCCGCGCGGCCGCTTCTCCCTGCAGAATCTCCCCAGCGACAGCTTCCTGCTCCTCGGATGCCGCCATGGCCTCGTGCTAATCTTCGAGTGGAGGAAGTTCCAGATCCTGGTGTGGGACCCCGCCAACGGCGCCCAGCAAAGCATTGCCTCCCCCCGGGGGTTTCACATGGTGGAGACCCTGATCCACCTCCAGGGGGCAGTGCTTCGTGCTGCCGCAGACGACCAGCACTTCCAGGTGTGTTTTGCAGGCTTGGAGAGAGGCTCCCAACGAAATTATGCGCGAGTGATAGCCTGCGCTTACTCGTCCGAGACCGGCAGCTGGGGTAATCTCGTCTCAACAGCATTTCCATCCGTGCCTTATCTGCATGTAGATCCCACCATCGTTTTCATGGCCAAGCCCGGTGTGCTGGTTGGGGATTTCCTTTACTGGGCGCTTACTGGGAATTTTGTTCGAATTATCGAGTTTGATCTGAAGAGGCAGAGCCTAGCTGTGATAGGGATCCCGGTGGATATGGATTCTTGGAGAGATCACGAGTACTCAGTTATGCGAGCTGATGATGGTGGGCTTGGTTTCCTCTTTCTGTCAGACTTCAGTGCCCAATTATGGAAGAGGAAGACCGATTGTGATGGTGCTGCTCCATGGGTGCTGGGAAGAACTATTGAACTGGGCAAGCTACTTTCCCTAAATTTACATAGTGAGAGGGCGCCCCTGAGGATTCTAGGATATGCTGAGGAAAATAATGTGGTGTTCTTGTCGACAGTTCACGGTGTCTTCATGATCCAGCTTGACCCATTGCAGTCAAATAATGTGGTGTTCTTGTCGACAGTTCTCGGTGTCTCTCCTCTCTATTATCCATTCGAGAGTATCTATACTGCAGGTAATAGCATTTACATTGGATATAACAAAACCAGGTTATTTTTCAGTAACTAGTTGATGGAACGCGGTTATGAGATGTTATGCTTTGCCAGTCTTAGTAACCGAGAACACGAAATCATGGAACAGTAGAATCAAGTTGCTAAAGAAGCATAGCACCTCCTTTTTTTGGTTAAACTAACAGTCTCAACAATGTTGTACTATCAACTATTTGCTTTTGCTGCTTGATGAACACTCCCAACATATAGCGATATTGCTCTGTGATCTGTTCTGATGCTTGTCTGGTGGCATTGTGTGCGATGGTTATGACTTGAGAAAACATATGTTAATGGTAGCTTAGCTGGCTTCCTATATGGCTGTTGTCATGTTATGCTTCTTTAGCAACTTGATTCTACTGATCCATGATTTTGAGCTTCCTTAATTGAAGCTGAAGGTTGTGCCTCTTACCAAAAACAAATAAATTAAAGTGATGTTGTTTGCTCTATTCTCATACTAGTATTATTGTGGAATTATATGGCTTGAGCCAAGGTGTAGCATATTTTTTATCTGTTTATTTATTCTGTGGATATTTATAGAATAAAACAATGAAAAGAGACAATACCAATATTTTTTATCAAGAGTGTTCATTTTTCGTATAACTGAATTTGTTGCCTGCCTATGGGCATAATTAATAAAAAGTATAACAATGGTAATATTAGTTCTTAGCTGCAGTGCAGTTGTTTCCCGAGATGAGATACATAAGGGTTTGAAATCACTGTTAGCAGCAAGAGCACAGGTAACTCTGATTTGGGACTCAGTTCTGGGCTGCAACGGATGCTGCTGGCTAGGTTTCACCCCTTATTTGTAGCTGAAAGCAACCAGTACAGAACCACCTCAGTGGCTTTCTTACAACCTAAGACTCCTTGACTTGTAGCCTTAGACACAGACTTGACACACTAAGCTTACTACCTAAGGAAAAGACTTGACTCATTGACTGACTGCAGCAAGGATTACTCTAACGATCAGAGATAACTAAATGAACAAAACCCAGCTTCAACCAAATGAAACGTCAAGTAGATAGCTTAATTGGTTATCTTTCTTTCAATTCAATATTGTTATCTTTGTTGATCTTGCTAATATTCTTAAATTGACAATAACGGTTGTTTGATATCTCCAAAATACTTGTTCATATTTATATATTTGTCACTTTTAGAAGAGTCCTGCTGCAAGTGCCAAGTTCAATTGTGCTAGAGAAAACTAGTAATTGAGTTTATTTCATCATTTCAGGCTAAATTTATTTAAAAATAATCTAAATATGAATAGTTGTGATCACATTTATTGCTGGCATTTATTGGTATAAGTATATTTTATTTTATACAATATGTCATGGAACAAGCTTAAGAATATTTTTTGTGTAACTTTTCCCTTCCGGCCAGCTAATAGTCTGAATGTACATGTTCTCCATTTTTATGACACTTGAATACATACTGTTTTTTGAGTATTATGTTTATTTGGTAGTAGATGGGGCTTTGTTTATTTACTCCTATTGTTGTATTAAACCAGTTTTGTTTTTCTCAAATTTCATCAACCATTTTATCTAAATATCTCATTGATGCCCTCGTGTCTATTTGTTTCTCATTGGAATGTCATCTGTTCCTGGACATATGCTTGTAGGCATGGGCATTGCTGGTGGTCATGATGGGGCTAAACTTTTGCACAATGCATAAGATGATTGGTCAGATTAATATGCTATCATGATGTACTGGATTAAGCAGGTAAGCCTGTCTTTAAGCAGTAGCAGAACGAAATAGTTTCTTTTTCTTTGCTTTATGGATAGTTCTCTATTTTACTTTTACTTGTTGCTGCATTGCATTCAATATTTTTGTGGCTATGGATCTATCAAGTCCGGTTGCTATTTGTATGTTGTCCCCTCTATGCAAGTAATCGTTAACCAATAGTACTTGATCATTTGGCTTCAGATTCACTAAATTAATGCAGGCTTATACAATTGCCATTTCACACCACTGTTCACTTGGGATCATTATAATACGTAGTGCCCGCTTAAAGTTATGTGCAATCTTAGCCTTTTAGGCCACTTGCTTAAATATTTTCTCAGCATATCTTTGTGTGTCACTATAACTCACATATGTAATTGGCTATTAACCTCTAGAAGTTTTTTGGAGGTTGTTATTTTCTGGAGTTATGGAGCGTCGATTGCAGAATCTTGATTCAGCAAGGTTTTTATCCAATACCATTTAAAGGATTACTGTAGTCAACTACTACATAGTACTCCCTCAGTCCATAATTACTTGTCGCAGAAATGAATGTATCTAAAACGAAAAATATGTCTAATACATCCATTTCTGTTGGATTAGGGGCCCATGTATTGCTGGCCCAAATGGCCCATGCCCATAGTGGCTATCTAAACTAAGGGAGAGGAGATCATCCTTGTCTTGAGTCCGAGAGCCGCCACAGAGCCGCCACACACGAGAGAGAAACTCACGCGAGCAACCAGAGACGAGCAGGACGTTGTTTGCAAGTACTCCTCTCTCCCAAGTCCAAATTGGTATCAGAGGCTAGGTTGGTCTAGTCGCCGGCTGGTGTGGGGTCCGGCGAGGAGGCGGCGGAGGGGCTCAAATCAGGGATGGTTGCGACGTGCTGTGTGTGCGCGCGCGACGCGGATAGTGGCCCGGTGGACGTTGCGCGGGCGGCTGTTTCTTGGACCCGAGGCGGAGCCCCTGCTCGAGCTCTTCCTCATCCCCTGTTCAATGCTTCAAGACTTTCTATGCCTATGTGAAAAATCACTTCAATGTTTGGGTACAAGTGATAAGAAGTGATAATGGCACTAAGTATGTGAACAAAGTGTTTGGGAATTTCTTCTCTGAGCACTGGATTTTGCATCAAACCTCATGTCCGGACACTCCTTAGAATGGTGGCAGAAAGGAAGAATCACCATATTCCGGAGGTTGCTCGATCACTGATGTTTACTATGAATGTGCCGAAATTCTTATGGAGTGAAGTTGTGATGGCTGCGACACACTTGATCAATCGCACATCATTGAGAGTACTGGGTATGAAGTCTTCTTCTGTGTTACTTCTGGGAAGGAATGATTTTGTGGTTCCTCCCAAGCTGTTCGGTTGTGTCTGCTTTGTGAGGGATCACATGACATTTGTGGGCAAATTGGATCGATGGGCCGTCAAGTGTATCTTCACTGGGCACTCTTCTGGGCAGCGCGGCTACAAGTGTTGGAGTCCTTCTGAATGAAGGACCTTTGTGAGCATGGATGTCACCTTCAGGGAATTCAAACCATTTTATGGTGAAAAATCCTATCTCAGTGGATTATTTGAAAGTCTCGACCATATCCAGTCTATTGTGATAGGTTAAGAGGGGAAGAGTGGTAGTGGTGCTGATTCAGTGCTTCAACAAACCAATTGAGGGTGATATTCTGGTACAGCGAAGAGAGCAGCAGCCCTAGAAAATGATAACACCATAGAGTGAAGGATCGATTTTTACTGATGGAGTGCCGAGTCAGGTTGGCGGTGCTCCCACCTAGATCGGTTATGTGCAGAGGTGGACAACAGAGCAAGAGGAGCAGCTAAAGGTGTATTCACGGAAGCAAGGTGATGCCTCTCATAGATGGCAGAAGGTGAATGAGGAGCGTAATCCTCAAGTATATTCAAGATGACAACATCAGGTTCAGGGGGAGCAACCAACACATGTGCAGGGGGAGCAGCAAGGCAGCAATGCAAGCTCATCTGATAGAGAGGACTTGCCAATTGCTTTGAGAAAAGGTACTCGAGCAAAAGCAAAGATACCATAGCCAAAGTATGGGTTCGATGCTAATGATATTGGAAATTATGTTTCGAATGAAGCATTATCTTTAGCCCACAAAGCATTTGTTGCTTCTCTTCAACTGGGGTCTTCCAACTGATTGAAAGGCAGCAAATGTGGATCCAAAGTGGCGATCAACTATTATAGAGGAGTTCGAGGCATTAAGTAAGAACAAGACATGTGTACTAACACCTCTTCCAAAAGGAAAGAAGGCAGTTAGCTGCAGGTGGGTATACACTGTGAAGCAGAATGCAAAAGGGAAGATTGAAAGGTATAAAGCAAGGCTTGTGGCAAGGGGGTACAACACTACTAGGGAAAACCCTACTAGCAGCGCTTGTTTTATAGCTAGCAGTAGCGCTTGTACGAGCGCTACCACTAAGGTGCTACAGCTAACTACTAGTAGTAGGAAACCGCTACTGATAGTAGCAAGTACCAGTAGCGTTTCTTCTGAAAAGCGGTGCTGCTAACTTTTTGTGTATTTTAAAAAATACAGCTTATTTTCGTTGTGATTTTATATACATTACTTTCATCATATGATTTTATGACCATGATTAGTTATTATATATATCAGTAGGTGAAATGAACATGGATTAGATCCAAGTGAAGGCAACATGTGGTGCATGTCGAAAGTACTACTAATCCAAACTAGTTGCCTCCGCTTGAATCTACTCCACGTTCATTTCACCCACCGTTATATATAATAACTCATCATGCTCATATAACAACTTAGCATCGTTCATTATCGATCGTAATAATAAATAACTCATCATTGGTATCATAATAACAAGTCATACTCATCATCATCGACTATTCAACTTCTACTCGATACCACATCATCATCATAGTCATCTAACCAATCCTACTTAGTTGTTTTTAGCACATGATCATGAGTATTATTAGTTAGGACCTACTACCTTCTCTTAGGTAAAATAGCATAAAACAAGATAGGCCCTGACTCTCCATTATGGAGAATGGAGATTATCCTATCTTCAGTTCTTGCCTTTGGCATAATGTTGCTTTCAACTACCTCCTTACGACTGTTCATACATTTTTTCCATTCTTCGATTTTCATGTCTTCATTGGTTTTAGAAATCTGATATGGACAGGTGTAATTCGTAGGATGACCTGGCCGCATGTTCAAAACATCAAGGCGGCCATTTTGATACATCAGATGAGGCACACAAAGTAGTTAAGTTTCATCGCCACAGTAATAACTTCGTAGTTAGCAATGTTGTTAAGTTTTAGA